TATCTCCCATGTAGCAAGTAAAACGCACTACAAAAGTATTGTTCTTGAAATCTGGATATAGAAATGGGAAATGGAATTACACAGAAAAAAAAGCTCTGTGGCCCTGATGTGACATGATAATATCAGACAGCCCTCCTTGATCTCATATGATGAGCAGGTAAATGCAATCTGTGACCTGTCATTGGAAAGATGAAAAAAAAGATCTGGCCCCAGAATTCACGCCCATAATACCCAATTTGTTCTACTAAACAGAAAGAGGTATCAGCCCTGAGATGCTGGGCCATGGATGATGGGATCACACCCTTGCAGAGCTCCTTCTTGCCAAGGAGTCAGTCTAAGCTGAAATGGGAGAGGTGCAAGACTTGCTTTTGCTGCTAAACCAGGAAAATCCAATTCTATGATATTCAAATATATTGGTGTCAGTAAAAGATACCTGTTATGCATTATGTTATTCAAGATGGAATTCCAGTGATTACTTTTATTTTTGTCTTATCACCTTAACTACAAAAATATTATTCTCAGTTACACAGTAGCTAGGAAAATAGAATAGACATGAAATGGAAGATCCGAGGAAAAATTAAAGAATTAGACCAAAACGCTCAGTTAACAAGATTTTTTTTTTTAATCAGTTGCCACAAAAAAACATTTTGAAAAAGCTTCTGCAAATCTGTTTGCATCTGAGAAGTGAATGTTCAGACTTGGGGTCATTCTAGTCAGTATGTCTGAGGCATCTAGAGACAATCCTTTCCAGTTCTTTTAATGTTCTCTAACCAAGTATCATTGTATTCCAGGTACTCTTGAGATTCTATTTTCAAAAGGATCATGTCCTCCAGTTAAACTGACTGCCACTGTTTCCAAGGTGTTGAGGCCAAAATATATTTTCAGTTTTGCTACAGAAATACAATAAAAATAATTTGTCTTACAATCTTTCTACCTAGTTTTCTCTCCTAAATACTCATTTCTGTTGTTACTGGTATACAGAAGAAAGAGATGAAGGAAACTTAAACCAGCTATATCCTCAAATTGTCACATTCCTTGTTAATTTTCTTTGCACTGGCTAGTATGAGGCTATGTTTTGGACTTGTGTTGAACACAAATGATAATTCAGAGATGTTTTTGTTATTGCTGAGCAGTAATTGCACAGAGCCAAGGCCTTTTCTGCTTTCCCTATTGCCACACTGGTGAGGGATTTGGGAGGCTGGGAGGAGACAAAGCTGGGACAGATGACCCAAACTGACTGAAGGGATATTCCAGACCAATGACGTCATGGTCAGCATAAAAAGATGGGGGGAAGAAGGAGGAAGGGGGAGGTTTAGAGTGATGGTGTTCGTCTTCACAAGTAACCGTTACATGTGATAAGGCCCTGCTCTCCTGGAGAGGGCTGAACACCTGCGTGCCCATGGGAAGCTGTGAATTAATTCCTTTTTTTGCTCTGCTTGTGTGGGCAGCTTTTGCTTTCCCTATGAAACTGTATGTGTCTCCACCCACAAGTTCTCTAGCTTTTACCCTTCCAATTCTCCCCCCCCCCCCATCCTGCTGGTGGGGGAGTGAGTGAGCGGCTGTTTGGGGCTTGGTTGCTGGCTGGGGTTAAACCACGACATTCCCTTACTCAAAAAAGCCTCCAAAAATACCAGCAAACAAAATAAATAGTCTCCTCTTCAGGCAATTTCTTTCTTCCCATTGAATGAGCCCTTTTCAGACAGCTTTAGCCACTGACCATCTCCTGTTAGGGCTCCCTCATAAAAATGGTCTTTCTCTAGGACAAAGGAGATGAATATTTATATGAGCAAGTGTCTTTTCCTGCATGCCTGGGAGTAACACTCCTTAGGACAACAAACCTAATGGCATAATAAAACCAGAATCAGGCTAGGAAGACACTTCACAAGAACTGATGGACACAGTGTTATTGCAACAGACTTTGGGACAGAGAAAAAGAAGAAAAAGAGCACATTTTTTTCTAAAAAAAAAGGTGGGAAAATGCTTCTGAGTTTGACAGTTTGTAAACTGCAGGCTTAATTTAAAGGCTCACTGTAGCCTCATATAGGGTGTAACTATACATTTCCTTGAGAGGTAACTAAAAGTTTTTACTTAACTAAGAAAATTGAACTGGGACCGAGGTTACAAATATAAATTTTTACACTCAGGGCTTGGACGTATGACAGAATAAGTGCACAGATATTGCCGTGGATTCTGACACAGTGAACTTTACTGAAGTTTCCCAAGTCCACTGCTTCCATTAGATACATGCTTTTCGAAAGGACTAAGGCATAGCCTTTTTTGAATCAGGATGAGTGTTTTGTGTGAGAAGTGAGTATGGGTATGAACATGCAATGGTGTATGACAGATACGGACATGCAGTGGTGTTACCTACCAAGAAAACTTTGGATATACTTATTTTTGATACTTTTAATATTTTGATATTAATACATATCCTGGCATATTTTGCATAAACTTCACTTGCTTCTTCAGCACATCAAAAATTAAGAATTATCTTTAGATATGAGTTGCAGTGTCTAATGTTAACTTTGTTAATATGATTGTTCTCTTTGTTTTCTGCTCAAGACTGCTCAGCAGGCACCCATGACAGCAAAAACTTACCCTGTGTGTAAAGGTTGCCTTTACCCTGTGTTTTAGATCATGTGTTTCCCAAGGTGGTACATTGCTAGGATCCATCACTTTTTTCAATTGAAAAAAGGCAATTTACTTCCCGTACATAAAAATGACAAAATAAAGCAAACAGATTTTTTAAATGGCTGTAAGATTTGGTTTCTGATAGCACTGGCATTTATTGAAAGCAATTTCTTTAAAGCAAACTCACAATTTATTTGGTAGATTTGAATTACAATGAGCACTTTGACAATACATGCACTTTTTTGTTGCCTGAAACTGTATTACTCATTTTCAATTACTGGGTCTATCATGTCAGTCCAGGGAGAGTCCTTGAACTTTTTAGTGATGAGTTCTGATTAAATTATAATTGCATAGAAAATTCTGGCATATGATACTAATAAAGAGACTGTAAACAAAAAACTCATTGGGCTCTCAAGTAAATTCTGTGCTTATATGTGGTAAAGATCACTTCAGTTGTCAGTTCTCTTATTATGATTTTTAAGTGAGACACAGCTTACAAATACTTCTGTTTTAAATGTGCTTACTTCTGTTTTAAATGCGCTATACATAGTAAATTTATTTACAAGTGACTCACTGCCTAAGCGTACATACAAAGAAAAAGACTGGAGAGCAATGTAACCTTACAAAAAAGCCTGAAGCCTCAACATCTCTGCTGTTTTCCGGGTATGTAAAGAACATACAATATTGGCTTCTTATGAACTTCACGGTCACATTTATTTGATGTAATATGAGTGAATGGCAAAGGAGCTATAGCTCAGAAGAGTTTATTCGGCTAAGGATCGAGGCTGGCCTTGAGAAGCACAGGGATCTGGGCATACCAAGACACTCTCCCCAGTCCTCAAGCCTCCTCCTAACAGTTGTTGCAGCACAGCAAGGATACAGGCTCCCCTTCACCACGGAAGAAGCATGGAGAACAGCCACAGTGCCATTCTCATTCTTGGACAACTGGGATTAACAACTTTTTTAAATGCTGGGCTGATCATGCTTGCCACGAAAGGCCGGAACCTGCCGCACTCTTTGAGTGCCCATGCATACTAGTAGGCTCCCTTGCTTGGAGACATCCCTGCTGACAGGGTGCCCTGCCATGAAGTCTGCATGGTCATGCCTGTAGAGGAATAGGGCAATTTGCTGCTCTTAGCCTGGCTTTTCACCTGCTTTATTCACCTTCATCATCACCTCATTTACACTCTCAATTCCCGTTACAGCGGAGTGGAATAAACCTGACCCAAACTGAAACAACCAGAATGTTTCAACTGCTGGGCCATGCCCTGAGTGTGTAGGAGTCTTCTCCAGCGAAATGGGTGCTCTTCGTGGCATGTGCCTCTTGGCTGCAACTGTTTCTGCAAGAGGCTCATCATCAGCCTGAGGCCAAAATGTTCCTGTGCCTTTCTGGGTGAGTGGATGGTGGCAGCAGATCTGCCCAAATATTTTCTTTCCAGCTTTATCACATTTGATAGTCCTCTGGTATATACAAATCTCCTTATAATCGAGAAAATCTCCTGCATTTACACCTCAGTTTTCTAAGATGTGCTCAGGGAAGTGCCACTAGGCATACAGCCCCTTCAACACCTTTCCCACTTCCGAGGTCCTGTTCCCCTTGTTCCCCTGTACCGCCACTCTGTCCTACATTTTTTCGTACACCCTACAGACAGGTCCCATTCAGGTCCCCTCATAGTCTCCCTGCAATCCCCCACGCAGTCGCTTTAAAGCCCGTGTGGAGCCCCTAGATCACCTCCCAGCTAGGCTGCAGCCCCTAAAGAGCTCCTAAACATCCCCCTCCAGCCTCCGTGCGGCCCCGCTGCTCCCCCAGTCCCGTCACACGCACACGCACACACACACACACACACACACGCACACGCGCACGCACACAGACAGACAGACATACTCCCATCAGTGCCCTTACGGGGTTCTCTACTCCAAACATCTCCGGCCTTTGGGCGCCCTTCCGACCCCCATTCCCCTCAGCGCCTTTGCAGCCCCACCCAGCTTCCCGTAGGCATCTTCCAGCCCCTACAGAGCCAACTCGTCAAGCCCCCCCCGCCTCTGGAAAGCCGTGCCCTGTCTGCAAACCACCGCGTCCCCGCGCTGCAAGGCGGTACGGAGGGGGGCGCTGGCGGCGGGACTCGCCGCCCCCCCGCGCGGCGGAGGCAGCGCCGCGGCAAGGGTTAACCGGGGCCGGCGGGCACATGACAGCCGCGGGCACGGCCGCCCGGGCTGCGCGGGAGCTGCGCTGCCGCCGGGAGGTGAGTGGCCCGGGGCGAGCGGCGGCTCCGCGCCCCGCCGGCTGCCCGCGGGTGGGGGCGTGCGGGGCGGCGCGGCCTCTCCGCTGCCCCGCCGGCCGGAGCTGCCCCGAGCCCCGCGCCGCTCGCCCGGGCGGGGACAGGGTGAGTCGGCGTCTCACGGCCTCCGTGCCAGAGCGCGGAGGGCGGAGGAGAAGAAGGGAAAGCAAAACAAACGCTCTTGTGGTGTAGTCAGTTCGCGGTTACTCACCTCGCCGGCCGGTCCGCCGTCGAGATGAGGACGCAGCGCTGTCTGGGAGGACGGGACAGACACCCGTCCGGGAGATTTGTCATCCCGCTGGTGAATAACCGGAGATAGGTACCCACGGAGGGAGGTTATGGAGCGGAGAGCCTGCCCGCCGGCCGCCCCTCTGGCGGCAGGAGCGGTGCGGGGCGGCGGGAGCGGAGTGGAGCGGTGCGGGGCGGCGGGAGCGGTGCGGGCGGGAAGCGGAGGTCGGCCGGAGGTGCCGGCCAGAGTGATGCGGGGCCGCCCCGCGGAGATCCGTGGCTCCGATGCCGAGTAGTGTCCCACCCGGGTCTTCCCGTCATTCAGTCAGCGGCCCCGTTGGCACGAAACCAGACGTGTAGTGCTTGGTGAGGTGACAGCTATGTTCATCTGCTGGCCTGTATGTTGCTAGCAACTCCAGCCTCTTAAACTTAATAGACTTGAAAGTCATGGCTTTCAGCTGTGTTCTCCTTCTCTGGTTCGCTTTTGGCCCCGGTTGAAGCTGCTCGTGCTTTAGCTGCGAGGTCTGTGGGGTGAGCCGTGGTTGTGATAAGGCGGTAGGTGCCCCCGAGCCGTTGGCCGGGCAGCGTGTGGTGGCCGCCCGCTCTGCCCCGCGAGTGGCGGTCACAGCGAGGGCACCAGAGCAGGGCAGGTGTCCGTGGCTCCGCGCCTCTGCCTTCGCATTGCCACCGGCTCGCATGGAGAGACTGTTGATGTTTTCTCATATCCTGCGTGCCCTGAAGGTCTCATCATTGCTGACACTGCAGTGTTAGCAATTGTGGCTGCACTCCTGTAAAGTCCGAAGTTATTACAGGCAAAGAGAACAGGGCAGCATTGTGAGTACAAGGTGCCATGGATCAGGGGTCGTTACTGGGCAGGGATGCTGGGGCGATTGACAGCATGTAAGAAAATGTGCCTCAGACTCTGGTAGTCAGTGCTGCCAGATTTGTATTGGGTTTTTTCAAGCAGCTTGTCTGAAGTTTGTAACTAGCCCTAATGAGAATAACGTTCGTCCTGGAAAGCTGCTGTTCTGTTACAGCAACCACTTGCAGTAGCACAGCTCTGATGCTTAAGATCCTAATAGAGAACAATCTGAGGAGATCTTAATTAACATAATAAACTTGAGAAGGCTTCTCTGGCAGTATGGTAAAAATGTTTGGTCCTAGCTACACTAGAATATACATCATCCTGTCCACTGATAACAGCTGCCCTTTTGATAGCAGTTGCAGCAGTATCAGTGATTGTGCTCTGCTCTGTGTTTATACAGTCCCTCACACAAAGGCATTCCTTTCTGTGACTAATCTTCCTAGGAATTATAGTGATGCAAGTAATAAGTAATTAGTAGATTTCATTGTACTAGCTCTGAGAAACTCAATCATGTTTGGGGGCTGGTTGTCTCAAGTGCTGTGGAGGACCTCCTTTAGCTATCATTTGCCTTGCTTGTTCGTGCTGTATCAAGAGGGCATAACAATCCTTAAGAACTAGAAACTTTCAGATTGTGTGACCCTTTCCTGTTTTTCCTTGGTTGACCACCTGGGCCCTGGAAGAATGTGATATTATCAGAATATTGCAGTTTGGAGTAAAGCTCTCTGTCCAAGAATATAATTGTCAAGAAATAGATACAAATTACCAAAACAGTGGATGCAAATGTGAGATATTTATTATTCTCAATAGTGCATGAGTTCTGAGATGCTGGCAGACATGGAGGGGAAGAGATTCTCTATAAATTGAGAGAAAAGTTTATTTTTTATTTTCAGTTTTGAAAGCACATTGTCTTCCTTTATTGCAACTGGGATTCTTAATGTACCTGGTTTTCCAAGATTAATTTCAAGTTCTTGGTTATTATTTCCTGGTTAAATCTCTGTGTGGTTTTCTTTTCCAAGGAGGATTTATTACCATAAATCACCACAGACCACTTTGGTCTGTGAAGTAAATCCAGATAACTACAAAAACTGTAACGCCAGTTCTTCCTATGCATTTGTGCTCTATTTAGAAAATGAGTTGTTATGTTGATGGCTTACTACTGTCTTACAGTGTGACCTTCTCACAAACAGCTGTGAGACACAAAAACCTCAGGAGTCAGTGAGGCTGAGGTGAAGCATCCCTCCAGCTTTTTGTGCCTGTCCCTTCCCCTCTCCATCACACTCCTGTCCACCCAGACTGACTCATCAGGAGTGGGACGTCAGGGTAGGGAGTGGCTTCTGAGTGTTTCACCATGGTGCCACTGACAGGTGATGCTCCAAATACCATGGCCATGCAAAGAGGGAAAGAAGAGAGCTTAAATGTAGGTAGCCTTTGGGTGGCCTTGTGATTACTCAGACCTGGTAGTAAGTAAATGTTTTCCTGGAATTGTGCCGAGGAAATTGTGGGGGGAGAACATGTTGAAAGGCTTGGCTGTCCCTCGTCATGATAGGGATGAGGGAAGGCACTCACAGTCTTGGAGTGAACAGTCCCAAAGAAGGGGGTTATGGTTCATGTTTTGCTTTCTGTGTTGCCTGGTAGCTGTTGAAGAGGTGAAGTGTCTCCAGTGAAAGAATAGGAAGGAAGGACTCTTTGGTGCACTGTCTTTCAGTCTTCTCCTTTGGTTTGGAATAGTGCTTGCTACCCTAAATGCATAGTGCCAGTGTCTGATAACTACTTTTGTGAAAGCATTTCCTGAGCTGGATTTATTACAATTCCTTAAACTGATCTCTGCAGCAGAGTAATTCAGCTTTTATTGAAATTGAAAAGTGTTTTACCCCTTATTTCAGTGGGTGAAGTAGTAAGCCAACTCTGATTACTTTTCAGAACTGCACTGTAAAAGTAGACTATATGGCATACTGTGCTACAGGCACAGATTTGTGAATTATTCTTTTGTTTTGCTTTCTGAAGAATTAGTGTTCAGATTTTCTAAGGCTTCAATTCAGCTTGAATTTAAATGTTATGACATGGCTCTCTGAAAGTGAATTTATGAATCATTGCTATGGATTTTGAGTACTTACGTTGTCGTCATGTTATTGATGCAGAGTCATAGAGCTTTGAGTAATGTCAGCTTGAAAAAAAAAAGAGACTAGGAGCAGTGGACATAAGTGTTCTTAAGTGATCTTTTAATATCTGTGGGAGCACGAAAAGGCCACTACAGTGTCTACTGATGGACAGAAATATTTCATTGAAAGGCGGCAAGTACTTTTCTTCCTTTGGTAGAACAAAAGAATTTGTCTGTACAGCCATTCAGTCCCAGGATAGTATTCTTTCTTGGGTTTTTTGTTTGTTTAGTTGGGGGTTTTGTGTGTGTTTGAACTTAGTACATCAAGCTGCAATCCTATTCAGGATTGCTAAGCTTATTTCTAAGTAAGCTGCATTTGGTGCTGTATTCCCACCATTTCCAAGATCACTTGGACTAGAAATTTATCATTATTATAGTTAGTTGTAATTGATAACTATTTATGGATCTGATGGAAAAGTTATACTTTTAGAATATAATTCATGTCCAATTGGAAATTGATTAATTATATGTGCTTTAATGCACCTCTCAGTAATCTGATGTTTTGGTTTGGATCACCTTGGCCTCTGATGTGAGAAGGTCTTGACATCATATTGAAAATTGATGCTAAGGAAATTTAACTAATGGAAAACCACTTAAAATACTAAATAATATTGAAAATGCCGCAAAATAATAATTTTTAAAATGCAGAAACTTATGTTCTCCAAGGTGCTTTAGTGTTTCAAAGTAAGAAAGCACTCATTTGCATCATAAGGTAATGTTATACATTTTCACAGTGGAATCAGGAAAGAGACTAGAGGAAGAAAATATAGAGGAATTATTTAACATGTTTCTGCTTTCATAAAAAAGTTTGGTTTGTTTGTACTTGCAGGTGAATTGGTTCAAAATACAGTTTACTAGGATGAGGAAAGAAATGATGGGCTCAGAGGCCTTTCTTCAAGTGTAAAAAACACAGCAGGAGCTAATGATAAAACTGAGACAATGATAGCATAGAACACTACCATTGCTTGTAAGATATAATAATATTACTGGAGAAGAATAGCGAAGAAAACCAACGCTAACAACGCAAGTTGTATATTGACCTGGATTTTATAGAGCTGGTGGGTCTGTGTAACCTATGTAGAAAAATTCTTCAATTGTTTAAACTAAAGGAGCTTTTGTTGAGTAAAGCTAATGCATTTGTCATGTTATATTCTTTTCTTGATTATATTCTTACTTTGCTAGTGTAGTTAAAATTGCAGAGAAGAATTACGGGCAAGAATGATTTTTATTTGTGGACAATTTATAATGACATGGTGTATACCCTTGCCGGCAGAACAATTGCCTTTTTTTTATATGTCCTTTTCTAAGGATCTAGTCACCTGTGTTAAGGCATGGTACATTCTGCTTTTAAAATAAGCTCTCCTTTTCCTTGCTTGAATTGGAGAGAGTGATTTATACTTCAGCCAGGCATGAAGAGAAATAATATTACTTTTTATTGATGTGCTTTACAATTTTTATTCCCACAATGTAAAAATATAACAATAAAAATAGTATGTAGACTAAATCTTTTATGACCATTTAAGTGTGGTTAAGGCATATCTCTCTTATTTATATCAGCGGTGAGTTTGCTTTTGCCTTTGAAGATAACATGCTTAGGCCTTTCATTTTTAGTGAGTTCTTAACTGGACAGTGTGTGTGAATATCTATGCATAGATGTCTCTAGAGACACGTAGATAGCCTTTAGTCTGGAAGTGTGCTATGAATATAGGTTTGTGAAATAAACAGGGATGTTTTGTTTGAGGTTTTTGACAGTGCACAGATGAAAAAAAATTGAGACTTTCAGAGTGATAGTAAGCAAAGAGTATTATGAGGGTTTTACATTAAATTCAATCATGAATATACTGGTTGGAATTTTACTGGCTCCAGTGTTGAAAATCTCATGTGCTGAGTGTAAAAGTTATGGTTCAACATTTTACTGCACCAAGATCATAATAATTAAACCTTAATGTATAGATAAATGAAAACCATAACTGATGCTATACTTCGGTTGTTTCTGTCAGCTTGTTTGTCTGAACAAGTTAATTAGGCACCGAGTGTATGATTGAACAAACTACTTAAATGTGTGCTT